CCAGTGCGTCCGGAAAACTTCCGCACCTAAGAACCTTAAGGGAACAGATCTTAGGTGTGATGGAGTTGTCCTCTAACAAAAACAAAAGTAGATTCCTCCTTGAGGTATCTATTTCCCTTGATAACAAGAAGTTTTCTTGCAGTGCCCTAATGGACTAATGGACCTAATTTTATTAATGTCCAGTTTATTAGGGGTAATGAGATACCGGTCAGGGAGGGACCTACGCCGCTAGCTGTAGAGGCTATTGATGGTAGACCACTCACACAACAGCTTATAACCCACGAAACTGTCCCTATTACGATCTCCATTGGGGCCTCCCATAGGGAGGAGATGACGTTTCAGGTTATTACTTCTCCATCATGTCCTATCATATTAGGGTTTCCGTGGCTGAGTAAGCACAATCCCTATATTGACTGGGCTAATGGGGAGATCTTAGAATGGGGTAAAGAGTGTATGGGGAGATGTATAAAACCAGTACTAAAGAGATATACTATTGACCTTCCCACTACCACTCCCCAAACTCCTGGAGTTCCCATACAATACCGAGAACTTCAGGAGGTGTTTAACAAGGCTCAATCCGATGTATTGCCTCCCCACAAAGCATATGACTGTGCCATTAACCTGTTTCCAGGCGCTATGCCACCTAAGGGGGCAGTTTATGCCTTATCTCCCCAGGAGAGTAAAATAATGGAGGAATACATCAAAGAATCCTTGAGCAAAGGGCACATAAGAAAGTCATCCTCACCAGCTGGTGCAGGATTCTTTTTTGTTGAGAAAAAGGGTGGTGAGTTACGCCCTTGCATAGACTACAGGGCACTTAATAAAATCACTGTAAAAAATGCATACCCTATCCCACTCATTTCCGAATTGTTCGATAGACTTCAGGGAGCGAAAGTATTTACTAAGCTTGACCTTAGGAGCGCTTACAATTTGGTTAGAATTAAAGAGAATCATGAGTGGAAGACCGCATTTAATACCAGTAGTGGACACTATGAATATCTGGTAATGCCATTTGGGTTATGCAACGCCCCGGCCGTATTCCAAGACTTTATAAATAATGTACTCAGGGAATTCATTTACTCATTTGTCTTGGTTTATTTGGACGATATTTTGGTGTATTCCCCTGATCTTCAAACTCACAACTCCCATGTGAAACAGGTTCTGCAGACGTTGTTGAAAAATAAACTTTATTGTAAATTAGAAAAGTGCATATTTGACCAGCCTGAAGTCCACTTTTTGGGTTACAACATCTCTGCATCGGGATTTCAAATGGATCCTAAAAAACTAGAGGCTGTACTACACTGGCCATTACCCTCTGGTTTAAAAGCCATTCAAAGGTTTATTGGTTTAGCCAACTATTACAGAAGATTCATCAAGGGATTTTCTTCTGTAATAGCCCCAATCACAAATATGACTCGCAAAGGGGTTAGTAGCACGGTATGGTCCAAAGAGGCTGTGAATGCTTTTGAGACTCTTAAACAAAGATTTGCCTCTGCGGACATACTAAAACATCCTGACACCAGTAAACCTTTTATATTGGAGGTTGATGCATCCGAGACAGGGGTAGGGGCTGTTCTCTCTCAGAGAGAAAGCCAGGGAACACCATTGCATCCTTGTGGCTACTTCTCCAGAAAGATGTCTCCTGCTGAGCAAACTATGATATTGGCAATAGAGAACTGTTGGCCATTATTCTTGCCCTCAAGGAGTGGCGACATCTTTTGGAGGGTTCCAAGGACCCCCTGTTGATCATAACCAACCACAAAAATCTGGCATATATAGGGGATGCCAAACGTTTGTCTTCCAGACAGGCTAGATGGTCACTGTTCCTTTCACGTTTTAACTTTCTCATTACTTATAGACCTGGTTCTAAAAATACCAAGGCTGATGCCTTGTCCAGGCAATTTGATAATGAGTCAGCTCCAGAACAGGTGACATCTCCTATTATTCCACCAGAGTGTATTATTGCTACTACTGTCGGACATACTAAAACATCCCGACACTAGTAAACCTTTTACATTGGAGGTTGATGCATCCGAGACAGAGGTAGGGGCTGTTCTCTCTCAGAGAGAAAGCCAGGGAACACCATTGCATCCTTGTGGCTACTTCTCCAGAAAGATGTCTCCTGCTGAGCGCAACTATGATGTTGGCAATAGAGAACTGTTGGCCATTATTCTTGCCCTCAAGGAGTATTTTGGTGTATTCCCCTGATCTTCAAACTCACCACTCCCATGTGAAACAGGTTCTGGACGTTGTTGAAAAATAAACTCATTTTTGACCAGCCTGAAGTCCACTTTTTGGGTTACCCTCTGCATGTTTCAAATGGATCCTAAAAAACTAGAGGCTGTACTACACTGGCCATTACCCTCTGGTTTAAAAATTCAAAGGTTTATTGGTTTTGCCAACTATTACAGAAGATTCATCAAGGGATTTTCTTCTGTAATAGCCCCAATCACAAATATGACTCGCAAAGGGGTTAGTAGCACGGTATGGTCCAAAGAGGCTGTGAATGCTTTTGCTCTTAAACAAAGATTTGCCTCTGCGGACATACTAAAACATCCCGACACTAGTAAACCTTTTACATTGGAGGTTGATGCATCCGAGACAGAGGTAGGGGCTGTTCTCTCTCAGAGAGAAAGCCAGGGAACACCATTGCATCCTTGTGGCTACTTCTCCAGAAAGATGTCTCCTGCTGAGCGCAACTAGACAATAGAGAACTGTTGTTTATTCTTGCCCTCAAGGAGTGGCGACATCTTTTGGAGGGTTCCAAGGACCCCCTGTTGATGCCACAAAAATCTGGCATATATAGGGGATGCCAGTCTTCCAGACAGGCTAGATGGTCACTGTTCCTTTCACGTTTTAACTGACCTGGTTCTAAAAATACCAAGGCTGATGCCTTGTCCAGGCAATTTGATAATGAGTCAGCTCCAGAACAGGTGACATCTCCTATTATTCCACCAGAGTGTATTATTGCTACTACTGTCCTCTCACTGTCTTCTCCACTGCTTGGTACCATACTGGAGACCCAGCCTCAGGCGCCCAGTGGTAAACCGTGTGATAAACTGTTCGTTCCCCTATGTGAAAGTGTTAATATCATGAAAGTGTTCCATGACAATATAACTGCTGGACACCCGGGCATCAATAAGTCCACTGCCACGATCACTAGATCATTTTGGTGGGATTCACTCAGGAAAGATGTTAAGGAGTATGTGCAGGCATGTTCTGTGTGTGCAGTTTCTAAGGTGACTCATGCACTTCCTTGTGGCCTGTTGCAGCCTCTTCCTGTTCCTGAGATTCCATGGTCCCACTTATCCATGGACTTTATTGTTGAGCTTCCTAGCTCTGCTGGATTCACTACTATTCTCATGGTTGTAGACCGATTTTCTAAGATGGCTCACTTCATTCCTCTCAAGAAGTTGCCATCTTCGCAAGATTTGGTCCTAATTTTCATACATGAAATTGTCCGTTTGCATGGCATCCCCCACAATATTGTGTCTGATAGGGGCTCTCAGTTTGTGTCCAGGTTCTGGAGGGCGTTCAGTAAACAATTGGGATTGATCTCTCCTTCTCCTCCTCCTACCATCCACAGACCAATGGTACAGCTGAGAGGGCTAACCAGTCATTAGAAGTTTATTTGCGTTGTTTTATTAATAGCACACAAGACAATTGGTCCGAACTACTCCTGTGGGCCGAGTTCGCTAGAAACCATGCTGTTCATGACTCCTCTGGGCACAGTCCATTTTTGTCAATAATGGTAGGCATCCTACGGTTCTCCCTGCGGTATTTTCTGATACTGCCATTCCTGCTCTGGATGAGTGTCTGGCCTCCATTCGGGATACCTGGGTTAAGGTTCAAACTGCTCTAGGGGCTGCTGCTGAACGCTTCAAACATTTTGCTGATAAGCGTAGGAGTGCCAACCCGGTGTACCAAGTGGGGGACCGGGTTTAGTTGTCATCTCGCAACATCAAGCTTAAGGTCCCTAGCATGAAGTTTGCCCCCAGATTCCTTGGTCCCTATAGAGTGCTTTGTAGGATCAATCCAGTGTCTTACTCTCTGGCTCTTCCTGCATCTTTAGGGATTCCCAACACTTTTCATGTGTCTTTACTCAAACCTCTTGTCTGCAATAGATATACTGTTCCTTGTGTTCCTCCCCCTCCGGTGGTGGTGGGTGGTCAGGAAGAGTATGAGGTATCTTCTATCGTGGATTCTAGGTTTTCTCGTGGCACTTTACAGTACTTGGTTGTTTGGAAAGGTTATGATCCTGCTGATCGTTCTTGGGTTTCGGCTCCTGACCTGCATGTGGGCCGTAAGATCCACGCTTTTCACGCTAAATTTCCTCTCAAACCTGGTCCTGTCCGCCCGGTGGGCGTTCTTCAGGTGGGGGTAATGTCACGTATTCATCCGCTTATAGAAATGTGGTTAATGACATTTACTGTCCACACAGGAAAAGTTGTGCCAAGCAGCAACCTAATCCACAGAAGATTTAATGCTGAACAGTAATTGTGCAAATGAAACCTGGTGTCATGTATTCATCCGCTTATAGAAAAGTGGTTAATGACATTTACTGTCCACACAGGAAAAGCTGTGCCGAGCAGCAACCTAATCCACAGAAGGGTTAATGCTGAGCAGCAATTATGCAAATGAAACCTGGTAACTGACTTTGGGGTCAAAGGCCGGTTACAGCCTATCAGAACTAAAGGAGGGGTATATAGGCCCAGTTCTCAGCCTGCTCAGTGCCCTGTTGTGGTTTCCCTTGTGGTTGTCCGAGAGCGCGTTCCTGTTTATAGTTTTCTACGTGGTTTTTTACTTTTGCTTTGTTTATTGACTTCTCTATATTCTGGTATCCTTACTCCTGGCTTTCCTCATCGCTGTGTCCCTTTCTGTGTTCCCTGACCTCGGCTAGTATTTTTGACTATTCTTTGTTTGCCACGACGGGCCGGTGGGGAGATCAAAGCTCTCTCTCACCGGCCCACATGCGGCCGCCGGCGGGGAGGAAGGGAGCCAGCCAGCCAGCCAGGCTGGAGAGAGGACCCGGCGGAGCTCTAATTTGCAGCTCCGCCGGGCTCCTCTCGCGAGATCCGGCGCGTTGCCATGGCAACGACCGGATCTCGCGAGAGTTCACTTACCCACGAGGACCACCAGGGAACCCCGCCACCCCGCCTGCCAGGTGCCAGCGTGCCGGTCCCCCCCCTCCCTCTCCCAGGCTAAAGGTAAGAAGGGAGGGGGGGGAATAATACCTGTTTTTTTGTTTTATTTATTTTTTTTATTTACCCCCCCCCCACACACACAATAACATTTATACAGCACTCTCACACCCATCACACACAGCACTCTCACACCCATCACACACAGCACTCACACCCATCACACACAACACTCTCACCCATCACACACAGCACTCTCACACCCATCACACACAGCACTCTCTCACACAACACTCTCACACCCATCACACTCTCAGCACTCTCACAGCACTCTCACACACACAGCACTTTCACACACACAGCACTCTCTCACAGCACCCTCACACCCATCACACTCACAGCACTCTCACAGAGCACTCTCTCACAGAGCACTCTCTCACAGAGCACTCTCACACGGCACTCTCACACGGCACTCTCACACACCGCACCCTCACATACGGCACTCTCCCACGGCACTCTCACACCCATCACTCACACCGCACCCCTCACACACACACCGCACCCTCATACACACAGAACCCCCCCAACACACTGCACCACACACATACTTTCAAATATATATATATATATATATATATACACACACTACACTCTTAAAGGACCACTCTAGCCACCCAGACCACTTCAGCTTAATGAAGTGGTCTTGGTGCCAGGTCCTTCTAGGGTTAACCCATTGTTCTATAAACATAGCAGTTTCAGAGAAACTGCTATGTTTATCAATGGGTTAAGCCTTCCCCCAAAGCCTCTAGCAGCTGTCTCATTGACAGCCGCTAGAGGCGCTTGCGTGCTTTTCACTGTGAAAATCACAGTGAGAGCACGCAAGCGTCCATAGGAAAGCATTATAAATGCTTTTCTATGCGACCGGCTGAATGCGCGCGCAGCTCTTGCCGTGCGTGCGCATTCAGCCGACGGGGCGGATCGGAGGAGGAGAGCTCCCCGTCCGGCGCTGGAAAAAGGTAAGTTTTAACCCCTTTCCAGAGCCGTGCGGGAGGGGGTTCCTGAGCCACATATGCATCACATTACACCACAAACACAACACGACTAAAACCGACCTTATTACACAATACCACACCACGACCAGCTCACACACACGCAATACCACAAGCAGGCTCCAAACACATGCACAGTACTCTTTCCTGGCCTTTTTGTCTCCTGGTATCCATTTATAGAGACACCAGAGACAAGTTGCAAGGAAACACAGTGCAAGCATGTTATTAAATTTGCTTGCACTGTGCAGAACAAATACAGGACTTTTTCTCATGCTAGAGCTCTTCAGCAGAGCTCTGCGCATGGTCTGCCCTGGAAGAGCATTGAACCAACATGCTCACTGAGAGGGGGCGTGTTTGTCATTGGTGATGACAAAACACACCTCCTCTGCCCCGCCCCCTTTTTAGTGGGCCGCTGTGTTAAAAAAATGCCCGGGCCGAATTTTTCTCCCAGACCGGCCCTGATCCACATTAAATGTCAGTTGCCACAATTCTGACCATTTTTCTAGTTTACCTAAATCATTTGTCATTTGACTTATCCCTCCTGGAACATCAACCCTGTTACATATCTTAGTATCATCAGCAAAAAGACATACCTTACCATCAAGACCTTCTGCAATATCACTAATAAAAATATTAAAGAGAATGGGTCAAGTACAGATCCCTGAGGTACCCCACTAGTGACAAGTCCAAGCTTCGAATATATTCCATTAACTACAACCCTCTGTTGCCTGTCACTCAGCCACTGCCTTACCCATTCAACAATATTTGAATCCAAACTTAAAGATTGCAGTTTATTGATAAGCCTTCTGTGTGCAACTGTGTCAAAAGCCTTACTGAAATCTGGGTAAGCAATGTCTACTGCACCACCCTGATCTATAATTTTAGTTACCCAATCAAAAAAATCAATAAGATTAGTTTGGCATGATCTCCCTGAAGTAAATCATCTGGCCATACACTACACACACTAGCACAACATAACAATACTATAACACTGGCATACACCACAAGCACACATGGCATACATACACATAGCACATGGCATACACACACATGGCATACACACTGGCACACACTGGCATAAACACACTGGCATACATACATACGCATACACACACTGGCATACATACACAAATACACTGGCATACATTGGCATACACACATACATACACTGGCATACACACACATACACTGGCATACACACACTGGCATACACACATACACTAGCATACACATACACTGGCATACATACACAAATACACTGGCATACATTGGCATACACGCATACACTGGCATACACACATACACTGGCATACACACACACATACACTGGCATACACATACACTGGCATACATACACTGGCATGCACACACACACACACTGGCATACAAACACTGGCATTCATACTGGCATACATACACACTGGCAGACATACACACTGGCAGACATATACACTGGCATGCATACACTGGCATACATACACACACTGGCATACACACACACACTGGCATACAAACACAGGCATACATACACACACTGGCATACACATACACTGGCATACATACACACACTGGCATTCACACATACTGGCATTCACACACACTGGCATAGACACACAAGTGCAAACCATCCAACTTGAAGGAGCTGGAGCAGTTTTGCAAGGAGGAATGGGCAAAAATCCCAGTGGTAAAATGTGGCAAGCTCATAGAGACTTATCCAACATGACTTAGTGCTGTGATTGCCACAAAAGGTGGCTCTACAAAGTATTGACTTTTTCTGTTATTTTGTCCTATTTGTTGTTTGCTTCACAATAAAAAAAAAAATCTTCAAAGTTGTGGACATGTTCTTTAAATTAAATAATGCAAATCCTCAAACAATCCATGTTAAAGGACCACTATAGCGCCAGGAAAACATACTCGTTTTCCTGGCACTATAGTGCCGTGAGGGTGTCCCCACCCTCAGGGACCCCCTCCCTCCGGGCTCTGGGGAGAGGAAGAGGTTAAAATCTTACCTTTCTCCAGCGCTGGACGGGGAGCTCTCTGCCTCCTCTCTGCCTCCTCTCCGCCTCTTCGGCTGAATGCGCATGCAAAAGAGGGGGGGAAGAGGGGGGGAACGGGGGGGAAGAGGGGAGCTTGGGGAACAGGGGGGGAAATGGGGGGGAAGAGGGGGGAAAGAGATAGGGGGGAGAGGGAGGGGGGGGAAAGATATGGGGAGAAAGAGGGGGGAACAGAGATATGGGGAGGGGGGAGACAGACAGAGAGGGAAGAATGAGACACTGGGAGAAAGAGGGGGAATAGAGAGATAGGGAGGGGGAGAAAGAGACACAGGGGGAGAAAGAGATGGGGAGGGGGAGAAAGAGACAGAGAGGAAGAGAGATGTGGGGGAGAGAGAGAGAGACAGGGAAAGGGGGGAGAAAAACAGTGGAAGAGAGGGAGAAAGAGGCAGAGGGGTAAGAGAGACTGGGAAGGAGGGGGGGAGAAAGAAACATACAGAGGGACGGGGGGAGACAAAAAGGCACACAGAAGGGCTGTATATATCACTGGTGGATCCAGGGGGGCAACAGGGCAATTGCCCCCCCTCCCCTGTCCGCAGGCACCGTGCGGGCAGGGGAGGAGGAAGAGAGGACCTGGGAGCTCACCCTGCAGCTCCTCTGGGTCCTTCTTGCACGAGCACAGAGCGTTGCCGCGATTACCATGGCAACGTTACGCTCTTGCGAGAGTCAACTCTAGCCCTGGAGCTACGGTCTAGTGTTCACTCTCAACACTGTGACCCCCAGGGATTCCTGGTGGTCGCAGTGGTGAGAGTGAACTCTAGCCCCATAAACACACTGCCCCCACACACACACCATACACATTCACACACTGCCCCCATACACACCATACACATTTACACACATTGCCTCACACACACACATACACTGCCCACCCATATACACCCAGCCCCCCATACTAACATTGCCACACACGTACACAGCCCACACACCCTACACATTCACACACTACACCCCCCACACACACTGAACCTTTCACACACATTGCACCACTGCTCCTATTCCCTACTACAGCCCCATATCCCAGCAGATCCCAGGTAAGTTGTCAAACTGTTCTTAAATGGTTTGACTACTTACTCTGGAGCAGTAGTGGTTATTGCGCATGGATTATTTATTTAAATAATCTACAAGTGCCCCAGTAGCCAGCCAGCCAACCCACAGGCTGGCCAGTAGCCAACCAGTTAGCCAGCCCACAGGCCAGTAGCCAGCCAGCCAACCCACAGGCTGGCCAGTAGCCAGCCAGTTAGCCAGCCCACAGGCCAGTAGCCAGCCCACAGGCCTACAGCAAGCCACAGGCTTACAGCCAGCAAGCCACAGGCTTACAGCCAGCAAGCCACAGGCTTACAGCCAGCAAGCCCACAGCCTGCCAGCAAGCCCACAGCCTGCCAGCCAGCCAGCAAGCCCACAGCCTGCCGGAGGTAGCCAGCAAGCCCACAGCCTGCCGGCAGTAGCCAGCAAGCCCACAGCCTGCCGGCAGTAGCCAGCAAGCCCACAGCCTGCCGGCAGTAGCCAGCAAGCCCACAGCCTGCCGGCAGTAGCCAGCAAGCCCACAGCCTGCCGGCAGTAGCCAGCAAGCCCACAGCCTGCCGGCAGTAGCCAGCAAGCCCACAGCCTGCCGGCAGTAGCCAGCAAGCCCACAGCCTGCCAGCCGCAGCAAGCAAGCCCACAGACTGCCAGCCAGCAACAGTAATTAAGGTAAGAGGAGCCAACTTGGCCTAGGTATCAGTGAGCTATGTTGTGTTGCTATATTGTGAATAGGAACCAGAGTGTTGGAGAGACCACCCTCCAGGCCCCATTAGACTCCATTGTAGTCTCTAATGGGGCCTGGAGGAGATTCTTTCTAACACACTCTCTAAAGGACACTGAGATAGCCTCTGCTAGAAATCCCCTCCATGGCCCATTAGCCCTCAATTGTAGTCTCTACTGGGGCCTGGAGGCGACTGTTTCCAGCAGGGGATATCTAATGGACGCTGAGATGGCCTCTGTTAGAAAGACCCCCTTCCAAGCCTATTAGACGCCATTGTAGTCTCTAATGGGGCCTTGAGGGGATTCTTTCTAACACACTCTCTAAAGGACACTGAGATAGCCTCCGCTAGAAAGAGGGCCAATTAGCCCTCAATTGTAGTCTCTGCTGGGGCCTCGAAGGGCTTATTGCCCTTTTGTTCCTTGTGTCTAAATATTGTGTAGGGTGTGGCTGGAGGCGGTGCATGGAGGCGGGACAAGGGTGGCTCTTGCTGCAGAGTATGGGTGGGGCCTGTAAGGGGGCCCTTGATTTATTTTGCCCGGGGGCCCTGAGGGTTCTCAGTCCGCCCCTGCATATAGAGCATGTAGAGAACACACACTGAGGCTGAGTCTTGAGACCAACTCATATATAGACAATATAGTGTATACATATACTTTGGCTGTGTCCTCATAGTAATGCATGCATAGAGCATATAGTGCATACATATACTGAGGCTGTGTCCACATAGAAACTAATACATAGAGCATATACTGGACACACACAC